TCCCCCCGTGAAATCTGGTCTTTTGTGTTGCTTTTACCCGATATGATACAGATTTCATGGGTGAGACCAGCGTTTCTGTAATTGGGGGTCCTGACCCAAAAGGGAGTTGCAGGGTGGTCACAAAGTAATTTTAGGGGGGTTGTGGTATTGCCACCCTTACTTCTGCGCTGCCTTCAGAGCTGGAAAGCAGCAGCTGTTGGCTGGGTGCCCAGCTCTGAAGGCAGCACCCCGCCAGCAGCAACGCAGAAGTAAGGGTGGCAATACCATACCATGCCACCCTTACTTTTGCGCTGTTGCCTGCAGAGCTGGGCGGCCGGAGAGTGGTGGCTGCTGACTGAGGGCCCAGCTCTGCAGGCAGCAGTGCAGAAGTAAGGGTGGCAATACCATACCATGACATCCTTACTTCTGCACTGCTGCTGGAAGCAGCTCTGCCTTCAGAGCTGGGCAGCTGGAGAGCGGTGGCTGCTGGCCAGGAGCCCAGGTCTGAAGGCAGCGCCGCTGCCAGCAGCAGCGCAGAAGTAAGGGTAGCAGCACCACAACCCCCCCTACACTAACCTTGTGACCCCGCACAACTCCTTTCTGAGTGAGAACCCCTACAAGTACAGTACCATGAAATTTCAGATTTAAATAACTGAAATCATGAAATTTTAAAATCCTATGACTGTGAAATTGACCAAAATGGACGTGAATTTGGTAGGGCTCTACTCATGATTGCAAGGCTAGACAGAGGAGCTCTGCACAGAGGAGACTGCTTTCCGGGGGGATGCGAGGGGGCACTCAGCACTTCCCTGTAGCCAAGTTATCAAAATTCCCTACTAAAATTTTAGGTTAAAATTTTCTAAGGTGCCTAAGTGGCTTGGGAACTCAAGTCTCACTGACTTTCAGTGACACTTAGACTCCTAACCCCCTTGGTAAATTTTTCTAACGTGCCTCTTAGCCGCCAAGGTCTTGTAGCATAGCACTCCACAGGTTAGGTACTTCCCGTCATTTGTCAGTCTTAAATGTGTTGCTTTTGAATGTAACTGAATGTTCCCTTTGTTCTGGTATTATGAAGAGTAAACGGGAACGCCTGATTGACTCTTTGTGTGGCGTTCATTATTTTATATGCCTTGATCAGACCCTCTTTTATTCATCTCTTCCCTTAACTAAACAGTGCTACTCTCTTCCCTTTCTCTTCATATGGACTCTGAGGCCTGGTCTACACTGGGGGGACGGGGGAGGGGATCGATCTAAGAATAGCGTAGCTGAAGTTGATGTATCTTAGATCGAATTAAAATTACATACTTGGCGTCCTTGCGGCGCTGGATGGACGGCTGCGGCTCCCCCATCGACTTTGCTTCCGCCTCTCGCACTGCTGGAGTTCAGCAGTCAATGGGAGAGCGATCAGGGATCGATTTATCGCGTCTACACTACACGCGATAAATCGATCCCCGATAGATCGATAGCTACCCGCCGATCCGGCGGGTAGTGTAGACATACCCACATGAGTCACCCGTCTCTGGACCCCTCCTATTCCTGTGTTTGTTTATCTGGGGACTGTAATCGAGTTTCATTTCATCCAAGTCGATGCAAAAGCCCGAGTGGAACTCTGAGAGTTTGTTGTTGACAGATGCAATCTATGTAAAATATCCTCCTAGAGGCCGCATCAGTGTAGTGGCTAAGCACTACTGTGTATTTCCGTAGCACCTTTCATTCTTTAAGGAAGCACTCCCCAGACTGTATGGAAAGGGGTAACCACTCCCCACTGAAGTAACAGTTTGGGCAGGGCATACTGCATCCCAAGGTGGTGATGGTGCAAAGTCACTTCAAGATGCAGCATCACGTCATCCTGTCGCCATGTGAGTCAGTATCACCATGTGCTTCCGGAACGCATGGCTTTACAAGAATGTGGGAGGTTGTGTGACATGAGATAATCCTCATCCCACAAAATCAGGACACGCTTGCAGCCCCATAAAACAGGGTTTCCAGTGTTTGGTAATAAACCTGCTAAGTGCACAATTTCTTGGGTACATTGATTGATTTTTCTTGTATTGATGCAGCCTAGAGAACAAAGGGACCATGTGTTTTGCTGCCCCTTGTCTTCCCCTGAAACGTCGCTGTGACAGGTCACAAGCCCTTCTGCAATCATTGCTGTTCAGATTGTTTAAATCCATCAAGTGGGAGCAGGGCTGGGTTCTCTGCCAACGCTGGTGAAATGGCCTCTTTGTGTGGGCCAGCCTGTTACTTGCACTGTTTGGCATTTGACTATATCTCAGTGCTGATTCTGTCCAAGCTAACACCAACTGCAAATTTGTAAATGAATCTCAAGCAGTCCTGGTATGAGCCATCGCTCATAAAGAAATGCCAGCGAAGGGTTTGAGGGTGGGTGGGTTACGGCTATGGAAGTTCTTTATTCTCCCACCATTTGTTTTCTCCCAAGCAAAGGCCTTCTGCTCACATGCTTATCCTGGCTGAGGAAGTCTAAATGCAGCTCCCTTTGCAAGCCATGGGAAGTTCCTCCTTGCTCTGCTTTGTGCTCTGCAGGCATTGAGTATGGTGCCTGCCCAGTTATCCCAAGATGCTCTTGTTTTATTGGTTTGCATGAGGAGATTTGGGGCAGGGAGTGGTCAATAAGCACCTATGCTCTGTGTTGCTGCTGCCCTCCTCTTCAGAGATGGCTGCATATTAGTGGGGAAACGAGGGGTGAAATCCCAGCCCAGCTGAAGTCAGTGGGGTCATAGTTCAGGGCCACTGCACACACTCTAGGCTCCCAGCTCCCCAGTCTCTTGGTGGAGACCCGCGTCCCCTTTCCTTCCTGACTGGAGTATTTCCAGGCTGCACAGCTTCCTGCCTGCACTGTGAATTCCACAGCAAGCCAGACTGCCTAAGCAGGCCTGCTTCCCTTTCTCCTCAGAGGCTACAAACAGCGTAAGTGCCACAGTTATAAGTCCCCACACAGCCCTTGCTAAGCAAGCACATTTATTCTTAAGGGGAAAGTCACAGAGAAAACATACTAAACCAGTAAAAGAACCTACAAGCGTGCTAATAAGCTCATCAGAGATCACCCAGCAGTAGGCCAAGTACTTACAATCCTTCAACAAGGATTGTGCGCCTCCCTGGACAGAAGGCCCTTAATCACTTTAAACTCAAGCTATTTATCCAAAAGTCCCTTCTTTGTCTGTTGGTCTCTGGAAATCCAGTTTGAACCAGTATATGGGAGCCTGCGCAGGTGGTGGTACCTCTCTGGAGGTGTTAAAACCTGAATGAATTTGCCCCGTAACCCCACCACCACCACACACACACACAGAGTTCTTAGTTCCTGGAGGGCTGTGGTCACCCTCCCCCATGAAATTACATACAATCCCTGGCCCAGAATGATGCGTAAACTTAACACAGTGAGATCTCCCACAGATATTTTAGGAAATTGCCACATCTGTCACAAATGGCAAAACTCCCGTTGACTTCAGTGGAGTCAGAATTTCCCTCAAGCTGTAGAGCTGGACCACAGAGTTGATGTCCAGATCTGGGTTAGGATCAGGCTAGGGTTTGGTGTTCTGGTTCAAGCTGGAATAAGGTTTAAGGTTCAGTTTTGACAGCACTGAAACCTCACAAGCTGGATTTGGGCCCCAAATGCTGGAAATCTCCCAGAGTCAGCTATTCCCATAAGACTGGAGCTACACCTGAACTAGCAATGGCAGATTGGCTCCTTACAATTTTGGGTCTGACCCAGAATGAAAACGGTGAGGGGGATAGTGTGGGCTTGGATCAGTCCTTTGCTTGAAACCCAAAGGCGGTTAGGTACGCACTTCTAATTTTGCCTCCTCTCCAATTGTAAGTGTGTAAGGGCCTATATTCTCCACTGCCTCACACATTGTGTAGCCATTGACACCCGTGCAGAAGGACTGTTACACAGACCCCATTCTGATTTGACACCATTTTGTTCAGCTTCACCGTTTTGATTCCGGCCCCTCCTCTACTCAATTAGTCAGAAGCAGCCTAGCAAATCAGTACCCGTCACAGAGTGGTAGTTAATATGCAGCAAGGCAATATTATTTGAAGCTGCTGTCTGAAGCATGGTGATTTGAAGAAAAAATAGGATAAGGTTTGAAGTGACCTTGGTTATGCATATTGTTGTTTTTAAAGCACATGTCTTGGAAAGCCTTTTACAAAGGCCATCATTTCTGAACTGCAGCAACTAAGACCCAGATAGCAAAGATGATAGAAGGCTGAGTATTATTAAACAGTAAAATAAGTTATTTGCCACAATAGAGCAAACCGTGGGTGGAAACCGAGTTATTGGGGAATACAAACCCTCCCCAGTGCAAGGCTGTTCGTTCCCCGCTGTTCTGAACAAATTGAATGGTCTTCTCTTTATTAAGATGGAGCAGCTGCAGGACCTGCTACATTAAAACCAGAGCTTCAACCAACTGGACTAAAGGAGTAACTGCTCTAGCTCAGTGGTTCTCCAACTAGGGCCGCCGCTTGTTCAGGGAAAGCCGCTGGTGGGCCGGGCCGGTTTGTTTACCTGCCGCGTCCGCAGGTTCGGCCGATCGTGGCTCCCACTTCCCTCGGCTCGCGCCACTTCCCGCAGCCCCCATTGGCCTGGAGCGGCGAATCGCGGCAGTGGGAGCTGTGATCGGCCGAATCTGCGGACGCAGCAGGTAAACAAACTGGCCCGGCCCGCCAGGGGCTTTCCCTGAACAAGCGGCGGCCCTAGTTGGAGAACCACTGATCTAGCTGACAGCAGTAGTGGACTTTTATCCTCCTATGGGGAGCAGCCTCTGAAATGGCAAAGACAAACTATAGTGCACGGTTTTTCTAAAATAAACATTAACTATTTGGTGTTTAGTTTTATTGGAAAATCTCTTAAGTTCAGTGTCAACACTGGCTTCCTCCAGCACTAGTGAGGTCTGTCTAAATACAGTATCTAGAGGCCTGCACTCAAACTAATAGAAATCCCCCCACGGATGATGACAGGAATCCATAGAGGCGTGTTTCTGATTGATTTGGATCAATTTCAGCTGCACCTGCCCCCAACAACAGGAGCATAGTGAGTGGAGCCTCACTTCAAGAGAGGTGACACAGCAGCAGAGGTGAGGAGACTAGGATAGGAGCAGCCTCTTACTGTACCAGAATGAGTGCCCAGGGCCCGCTCTCGTGAGGAGCCGCCATCGCTCAACTCCCATCTTGGCGCTTCGCAGGTTTGGGCCTCAAAACTCTTCTCTGCCTCGGCACTTCGCAGAGACATCAGTGAGCCAGTTGCCTGGATGGAAGTGATGGTCTGCAGGTTAATGACGCTTCTGGGCATGCTGGATTTTGTTTAGCATTGTGTAGCTATGCCCTTACGTTTCCACCGCTGTTTTACATGCCCTGTGATAGGCTGTGTTGAAGTAGCTGTGTTGGTGCCACGGTATTAGCGAGATAAGGTGGATGAGGTAATATGTTTTATTGGACCAACTTCTGTTAACAGAGAAAAGATATTCCCTCACCCACTGTGTCTCTCGAATGCCCTGGGATCGTCCAAAAAGTAAAGAAGGAATTCAGAGTCCAGGTCAGTGTTAGCCTCTCAGCCCTGGTTCTTTAGCCAGGTGATCACTGTGCTATTTATAATAAGGGCCAGATAGCAAAGTATTCACAGCACAACTTAGTTCAGCCTTAATGTTTCCGGAACGACTCACATCCTAAAGTCTCCCAGGCTTTTTTTTAGAGTCCCTTAGATCCCCATAGAAGCCTGCACCGAGCGTTCCATAGGCCACCGTATCACAGAAAGCTAATAAAGAACACCTTTCACTGTAGCTCTGAAAAGCTTATCTTGGCTAATGAATGGTATCACCTTGGCTCCCACTTATCTGGTGCCCCGCCCTGCTCTGTACAGGTTCTAATTCAAAAAGTGATAACACGTAATCTCCCACTCAGTGGACAACAGAAGCCCTGTAAGGAAACTTTGTACACAGTAACTTTGATGCCAAAAGGAAAGAGGGGATGACGAGGGTGGGAAAAATCAAGTGATTAAACAGCTTCACTTGAATGAAAGAGGGGTTTATTAAAATGATGCTGTGCTCTGCTTTACAGGAACTCCAGATTGCCATGAACTGGTTACACTGAATAACTTAACCGCATTCCCAGGATCTGCGTAAATAAGTTAACACTCAGCAAAATAACTGTGGAGGAGCAATTCATCCCTGGCATCCTACCGCCTGGAAGTTAAGTAGCACATCTGAAGTCAAACTCCGATGCCAACGGCTTTTGCCACCAAAGGCTTTGGTGGCTGTTGTATTTCTCCCGCCATATCTAGGTCAATGTGGTGCCACAAGCTTTTCTAAAGCATCTTTATCCTCTATGCCTGGACATTTATGCCGCATCTTCTCCTAAACCGGCTCTGACAACTCAGGCCTTCCAACAACACCAGAAATGGAAGCACTAGAAGTTGATGACATCAGCCCGGCCTTGGAGGTGACTGAAGATTTCTTCAATAGTTTTGATGCTAAGCTGGAAAAGGTTGTGCAACCGTCCGAGGTGTATGGGGTGCAGGAGGTTCCCGAACTGGTAGGACATGAAGTATTCAATCAGATAACGGACAGCGGAGACCTGAGAAACATCACTTCCTTAGCTAAAAACGGCCTCATTTGGGAACGCTGCAGAAACGGCCTCTTGGAAGCCAACGCTCCGAAAGCGTTCCCTGCCAAAGATCAGTTTACAGGGCAAAGGGAGACAGCCCCGGATAATCTCTCCTGGGTGGAGCAAAGGGAAGCCTCGACTTTTAATATTTTTAATCTCTGTCAGCGGAGGAGAGACAGGCCCCGCTCTGTGAACGATATCCTAGTGCAGAACGAGGAAGCCTCCACTTTCAAGCTAGGACATAACCGGTCACGCTCGGATGCAAGCCGCATAGACTGGGGACTTGTCTTCACAGGTGCATCTGTGCAGCCGCCATCGAGTCAGGACACCAATTGCTCCAGGCTCTTATGCCTACCACCCACACTAAAGAAGGGAGAGGACGTTCAAGGGAACACTGGTACGTACAGACGCTTCATTGCTTTTACTAATGATTTCTTTTTAACATTGATCTTGTCTTGAAAAGGAAACTGCTGGCTGCCAGTCTCCAGCTGCTGTAAACTGGCCTGCTTCCATTGACGTCAGTGGATCTACATCATTTTAAAACCAGCTCAGGGTCTGGCCCATATTTTTAAAAATATTCCCTCACTGCTATTACATGTTCTCGGGTTTAAAAATTCACTTATTTCCATTTTTCATTTCATTCAGATTGGCTAAGAAAGATCTGCTTCTGGTTCTTTCTGGTTGGTTTCATTTGCAGGTGCTCACAGTTTGGATTGCTAGTTTAGTGGGAGACTGGTTAATCTAAAAAAAAATAGTTTTCACTGAAGAGTTAGAAATAAATAATGAAAAAATAGGCTTCCTTTTTTTTTAAAAGACACAACCTGATTTTATTTTTTTAGGCCTAAATTACTCTGCACTGTCTCTTTAAGAAAGGTTGGGTACTCAATTCAGAAACAACAGAAACTCCAGCAAACAATCTGTGCCCTTGTCAATATTAATGCATCTCTGTTGGCTTTGTATGGGATGCAGGAAGTCTTGTTATCGGATGGACACAGACTTTCGCAGTGAGCCACGCAAATGAAGCAATGTTTCAACGAGCTACACATTTCCCTTTTCCTCTCTCGAGCAGGACACTGGAAGAGATTTGGCTGGAGGCCTCAGAAACCCCGAACCAATGTCTCCTGTTGGATGATTGTTTATTTTGCAGCTGCCAAAAGTGCGTTGAGCACTAATAGCAGACACAGCCCGGGCCACGAAGGTCATACAATCTAAATAAAGACATGGCTTAATAAATGGATACAAGAAAACCAGATGGGGTGGGGGAGGGGAAAGGAAAAGGAGGACAATAATTATAATAGCCAGACTGTGTGGTTGCTTAAGGCAGTGTTTGTCAACGACTGGTCCACAGACTGGTACCAATCCCTGAGATCTCCCTGACATGGTTTAGGAAGGGAGCAAGCCGGTCTGTGGTATCAAAAAGGTTGAGAAACACTGGCTTAGGGGTTACAGCATGCCTTTAAGTCCAACAGAGGGTCCTGTGGCACCTTTGAGACTAACAGAAGTACTGGGAGCATAAGCTTTTGTGGGTCAGAACCTCACTTCTTCAGATGACTTGCATCTGAAGAAGTGAGGTTCTGACCCACGAAAGCTTATGCTCCCAGTACTTCTGTTAGTCTCAAAGGTGCCACAGGACCCTCTGAGATCGGAAGAGCGGATCAGC